TTACCTCCCCATGTTTATGATATAATGTCCATTAATTAATTCGATCACTAATAATCATGAATTAATTAATATATTATATTACCGAGCTAGCGCTCGCTCATAGCATTCATATTATGCCGGAATAAATCCACCTGCAGGGTTTAGCATAATATTCCTTTATGAACTCACTTCGGGGACATCATCATACTAACGCACATGGTGACCGTAAATATCCTATTAGCACATCGAACACATAATGTTATTACCCAATTCATTAAGTATGTCGACCCGACTTGGATCTCACCCAAAGAATCAAAGCAACAACAATTATGTGAGCATGCCTATTTACTATCTTACGGGTTAAGAGCACGCAATAATTAACTGAGGCCTAGTTCGTTTACGACGATTGGTATAAAACGAACATCCCTCTCTGGGATCCTGTTCAATACATAAATGTACCAGCGCAACTAATCGGTCAAGACAAACCGTACGGTTGACACTACAATCGTTCCGATGGGTTGTTCAATTCCATCTAGGTTGTGAACCAATGATTCTTGTTTCGCAAGTAACTGATATAGTGATCTTCGGTACGCCCGATGACGACCCACTTATCTACATGCAAAACAACAGAACGTGGAACTTATTTAACTAAACATAATTCTCATTCATCAAGGAATAACAAGTGTAATATCCATTAAAGCAAAGCTTAAGTATATAACACAAACACTCTAGAGATGAGGACAACTCTTGTCACTATTCTCCTGAAAGGGGATGAGCTGGCACATCTCCCCCCTGCTGAGATTGGGAGCTTGGCTGAACATATAGCTAGTCTCCAGCCTCACTCTAGCGGCGAGCACACGAGTGCTTCGCCGGCTGGAGTTTCTCTCCCTCCCCTCCTGGATCAGACATGCGGTCTTAACTGCGTCCAACATGACGTCTCGTGCGAGAGTTTCGCCTCTAGCGCTTTCGTCCACTATGAAAAATAGGAGACAACCCCGGAGATGGGGCAGGTCCCTTTTGCCTCTCTGGAGCTGATTGCTCAGCCAGATGATTCGTAGGCTACGAGCACCTATCGAGCGCGTCCCCCCTCGAAGACCAGATGCACACCGCGCATGACATGACGGACAGTCTCTCATGCTCTTCGATCCTTTCGCCACCCCCCCCTCCTTCAGGAGGCTCGACCCAGCCTCGCCACAGGCAGACCACGTTCGGTGGCTCTTGCGAGCGTTTATATGTCTATCACATCCATTACTTGGAATGGCCGGGGCCTGGCTAATAGGGCCACTCTCGCTCATCTTCATTCTCTCATTCGTGATCATAGACTTGATTTTGTTGGCTTTATTGAGCCGATGATTCGCACCCCTGATTTTGACTACTACTAATGCCGCCTTGGCTTCCACTCAGGTGTGGGTAAAATTTCGCATAAGATCTGGTTTTTCCAATCGCGTGACTATACCTGTCGGGTCCTCCAGGACACCGATCAGGTGCTTCATGTCGAGCTTTTCTGCTGCCCACCTCCCCGAGCACATATTCCACACCTTGGTCTATGCCAAGTGTAATAGGGTCGAGAGATATGATCTCTGGGACACCCTGCGTGAGATTGTTGAGAGTATGGAGGCATTTCCATGGATGGTTAGTGGCGATTTCAACATCTTTCTGCACCCCGATTAGCGTGTGGGTGGTCGTTTAGACCAGTCCCGAGAGATATGGGATTTTGCTCAGGCTGTGGCGGACTGTGAGTTTATTGATTATGGATGTAAGGGTGAGCCCTTCACGTGGGTTAGGGACGACCTCAAAGAGAGGCTCGACCGTGCCTTAGTTTCTGAGGCATGGGCGAAGGTGTTTGCGGTCACGGCCGTCACACATCTCACTCGATTTGGGTCAGACCATTCACCCCTCCTCATTAGGTGTCGATTTTCGAGCACCCCCACCGAGCTTCTTTTAGGTTCCAGAAAATGTGGGTCCGCTACCACTCTTTCCATGACACTGTCAGGGATTTCTGGCTTCAGCCGACTGGGCTCTTCGGGATGCACAATCTCGAGGCGAAGCTCGGTAGACTGCGGCGTAGGTTGAGACAGTGGAACTGGGATGTTTTTGGAAACCTCCAACAGCGCCTTTCAGTGGCTCAGAGTGCGCACGAAGAGGCTGAGCGGGCCTATGACCTGGATGTCACTCCGGAGAATAAGACTGCTGTTAGAGGTATGCTGTAAAAGCTGTGTTTTGCAGTTTCTATCAATTCCATTT